CCTGTAGATAGATAAAGACGTTGTAGCCCTCTGATAGTTGGGACAAGTCTTCTACAATATGATATTGGAATCAAATCTAGCCTCTCATTAAGCAATCTCATGAATTATTTCCAATGTCTGTGATAACAGACATACATATAAAATATCGACAACAACTTTAAAGTCGATAAGACACAATGCCAAGCTTCAACGCCTCGATAAATTCAAACCACCCTTAATGTGCTCCAGAGTAGTAGATTAACACTTTTCCCCGACTTAGCCCGCACTGCTAATTCCTCAGCTTCTCAAAAAGTTTTGATTCATTAGAAGCCCGATCACAGTCTCTTTCCGCTTAATAGAATGATGAGTCAGGCGGCTCGATGTACATGGAATCCCAATGACTCATTTTATAATATTAATGTACAAATCATGTTGTATGGCTGTAGTCTCACCAAATTGGCTCTGCGAATTTCTGCTTCATCAGAAACTTGAGGAGTGTTCATCTCGAAGACAGCACATAATCGGCCCTCATCGTCAATCACCAGCATAAACTCGGTCAAGTAATTTTGATAGATTGCTTTCATGGTAGATAATTCTCAGTATTTTGTCAGGAACGGAGTAAAAGGTAAAGCGCCTACCATACTTTTGGGTGAATATTGGGATAAGATGATACCTGACTCTATGCAGACCGTCGTGAAACATCACTCTGCCTTTTGCCTTCATTTTGTTATACATTTCATAAATTCCTTGGCTTGTGATTGATTTCCCCTCTTGTAATTTTTGAAGGTTTTGGCTGGGGTTTTGAAATTTTTCCAAAACTTTAGCATCGATGATTCTATCGGGACATTTGAATTCTTTTTTTGCGGCATCAATGTGAGCAATCTGATAGCTATACATCGCGGCAATGGCTAAGCTGACGTTCTGGAGGATCAAGACGACGATAAATGAGCGCATAGTGAAAAATTGTAAGTATTGTTTGGTTTGACTTGTTTATGACACTGGATGATTGAGCAGTGGTTTCTCTAAATTATTATTGTAAACTTAGGTCAAATGATGGATAAAAGCCTGGAACAATGTGGAATAGTTCGGGTAAGCGGAGAGGTATGGTAGGGCTTTGTGTGTGTGTGTGTTTTATTGTACTACTTGAGTCTATGACTATCTAGCACATTGGGCTCCTCTCTGACCCAGGCCACACCTTGTACAGTGCTCCTATCCTCTTTTGTTACTTGAAAGATCATTGATATATTCCCCTTGATGAATAGCCATTTAGCTCAGTGTTTACCCGTGGAATTCAGCCACCTTTTCCACGGAACCTTCTACCCAAAAAAAATAAAAATGGTAGCAATGGAAACTGCGTGCGCGGGAAAAAGTCTCAAAAAACCTGCAGCCCCAGCCAGGCGAGGCCTAGACACCGGGACCACATGAGGTGCGCATATTCATCTATATCTCCCTTCTTTGTAACAGTCGAGGTCGACTTGATCCAATCCACCATCTCCGTATCGGGTGCTGGGTACGCTCCGGAAACTCATCGGATGGCTTTTCCTCCATGATCAAGGGTGGGTGACGAGTAGGGCTCCGACCCTACCATCTGATCTGATCGTGGTTAGCTTCATGATAATGGTGATAGGGGAATGTGTTGAGATATGAAGACGATACAGACGGCGAAAGCGATTGGGAATCCTCTTCGAAGTGAGGACTTTGTTACTCAATCTCGGCTCCGCAGACTCTACAGTGAGAGCTGGAGGTTCGTAGGGGACACCACTGACAGGTGTTGAGAATAGTCCCCCTATGGTAGGGCTTGCAATAATACGATGAGATTAATTGTAATATTTTCGAGTAAATAGTGCCCTCTCATTCATGAGGTTGTAAGGTACACTCAGTCAAGTAATCAGTAAGGGAAAACCAAGTTATTTTTCTTATGTCGTATGCACCAGGAGTGTGACCTTATTATAGGCTCAACCATACTAACTTCTAAAAATGATGGTAGTTAGTTTAGCACGATTGCGGGTACACCGATCCTGTTGAAATTAGTGCTATTTAGCAATCATTATTGACATGGAACGTTAGACTCTTAAATCCTATGCTAACCATGTTGAAGTTTGCACGTAGATTGGCCAGCTACCAATTATCCACACTAAGGAAGGAACCGCGTCCTTAGCTTTATTGTTTCGGTTCAATGATATCGCCCTCTGATAGTAAGTGGGTTTAATGAACAACTCGCCGCACAAGTTTTTAGACCAGAAGTGTCATTTTCCAACCACAAACTGGAGTATGGGATTTGGAATTTTGGTTATGTGAGTCCGTGTGGGCATTTATTTTCTTTATTATAACTAGCTACTTGTTGTGTAGTGAGTCACGCGGTGAGACCGAGTCGGGTATGTGGGAAGCATGATCTTGGCCGTGTACACCGGTCTTTGACTCCTAGGAGATATAGAGCTTAGCTTAAGACCTAAAAATAAAATCAATCAATCAATCAATCAAGTTTTTAGACCCTTCATTTTCCCAAATCGCTCCACTACATAATAATAAGTCGAAGCCTGAAAGCTCAAGCATTTCTATGAAACTTCCACTTGAATGGCCCCCCTATCTACAAAGTCGTCCATCCAATTCTCAACCGTAGCACACCGAAAGCGTGACCCAAGCTACCACCAGAGCTCCCGTAGTAACTTTTTGAGGCTAATCTAAGAGTCCTCCGTGGTTATAACACATTACTGTAACATCACTTTTTATTTGAAAAATAGTTTTGTATGGATTCAGCTGCATAGCTATCACGCTTATTCAGCATCATGTATAAACCTTATATGACTCTCATACCCTGAATTCCCTTTTTAGGTATGACAAAAATGATCATTTCTTAAGCTGACCCTCTCTAGCAATTGTTAGCCAATTTAATTTCAAATCCCTTAGTTTTTCTAAGCATATTAAGGGGAAAAAAATTCAACACCTGTCAGTGGTGTCCCCTACGAACCTCCAGCTCTCACTGTTGAGTCTGCAGAGCCGAGATTGAGTAACGAAGTCCTCACTTCGATGAAGATTTCCAATCGCTTTCGCCGTCTGTATCGTCTTCATCTCTCAACAAATTCCCCTATCACCACTATCATGAAGCTAGTCATCATCAGATCAGATGGTAGGGTCGAAGCCCTTCTCGTTATCAACCCTTGATCATAGAGAAGACATCCGATGAGTTTCCGGGGCGTACCCAGCACTCGATACGGAGTTAGAGGATCGGATCAAGTTGGCCTCGATGGTTACAAAGAAGGGAGATATATATGAATATGCGCATCTGTGTTATGATCTAGGATGTTACGGTTTGACCGTGGTTTAGCTTAGGTGGAGACCTAAGCGGAGTTTGGGGGCGTATTAGGGAGAGTGCTTCGTATTATCTTGTATCAAGCGACTAAGTTTCACTTGGCTACATTACATTGGAGCTAGGAAGGAATGTGAGACGGCGAAGTAGAGTTGCCAAGTGAGAGAGTCAGCTAGATGGCAAAGATGACGACGGGCAGTGGCGGAGCAATATGTCATTCTCACCAACAGAGTACGTACTGGATGAGCTAGAAGGATGTACAAATAGTCATTACCCGTAGTTGTGGTACTTCTCTCTTCATATGGTTTAATCTTTCTAAAAATACACTACAACCAGCTTGGTTTCGTCACATAGGAGTAGCCTAACCTCGATTGGTGGAGAAGAGTGTGCTAAGGATTGGCAAGGGTTATGGGTTCTAATTTGGTGTCGTCTGTCGCACATGTAGCAAAGTTACATCTATCCTTTCGTACATTTTATTTTTTCATATCCATATTATAGAGAGTAGTTTTATTCAAGAATTTTACCACCTATTATTTACACAATTAAATAAAACATACAATTATCGCTATGCATACAAGTGTCAGAGTCAGTGAGTGAGTGTTTATTGTCCTCATGAATCTATGACTATGCAGGTCATGCAGGTCCTCTCTGCCTACATGCCAAGGATACTTATACCAGTAGTATATCCCCTCCTATGCCTCCTATACAGCTCCCCTCAAACAGTACCAGCCCTCACAAGTCCTCATTCGATCATACACTAAGAGGAGCCCGTTGCCATTCATTATATCCCATCTTCAGCCAGCGAATCGATGGCCATTTTTGGGTGTATGGCAGCCGAGAAAAATCGCAAATATCACTGCGTGCGGAGCTCTCCTAGTACCGACATTAGGACTAGATCCGAGGACATAGTGACTCTTCTGAAGCGTTCGAAGAAGCCAGCCAGCTGGACGCTGCAGACTTGTGTGTACATTGGGAAATTCACCCTCTGCCTTTCTAGTCTCCTTCCAACACCTTCCCGAAGGTCGTGCTGAAATGTCAGAAAAGTCTTGACAGAGCGTGATTGCTGAATGGTAGCTTAGCCCAACTTCTTTTGTGCCGCCCAGGGCGCTGGGGAGTGCCGTTGACTCATCGACAATTGAAGTCCTCCTAGCTAATTAGCCGAAATCTTGGTCTTGGCGCCCAAAAAAATACAAAGTTGAAAGCCCCTCGAAAATATCAGTTCCAGCATGGTCTTCAGAGATCTGTTCCCCCTCTCGCTCCACATCTCAGCCGCCTGTCCTTCCTCAAGATGTATAACCCCATTAGAGCAACAGTCCCCCGTAAGCCAAGACCCAGGCTTTGTATATTATGATTTAATTTCCTCCTTGCAGGTATAAATAGCGTCTTAAATATGTAGTGAGAGATTGCTGGAAATTAATGGAGCAAGCTCCTGTATGCAATTGGAGCAACTTCTTTATTGGTTGTCGAGGCGAGATGATGTGTGGTTAGAGAGATGTTGAGGACTCAGATGAGTATGCTAAGAGTGGCATTGTCGAGAAGTCGTCAGATGGAGATGTGCTTGAGGTTGCTTTCGACTTCAATTCGGATGCGATTCTTCTTGGCTATCCCACATATGCAGAGCATACTGAGCGTTTACGTCGGCACCACTGGAAGGTGAACAAACAGCCATTGCCGGCTAATATGTCCTAAAATAGGTTACGCCAAGAGTCATCTGATGGTCCTGTGCACAGGCCATGCAACCATCTTTAATTTGAGAATAGACCGCCTTACAGCTTGGAATCCGTATACTCACGCAATGCAACCCGCAACAGATTGTTTGGAACCAAAGTTACCGCCGGATGAGAAGAAAATAAGCAACGAAGTAACCGAGGATGAGGAGGAACTATTTAAATTCTCGCCCGAAAAAGAGGCGGTGCGATTAAATCCCCCACTACCCCGCAATTATTTTCACAGCCGCCCACCTAACCTGTCTGCCGTAGTCTTTACTAGAGGAGACAAATGTACTCAAGTTACGCGCCAATGATCTATTTGCACAGAACGCATTTACTCAAGCTATTGAGATTTACGACCAGGCAGTCTCGATCTGTCCTAATTATCGCCATTATGAAGTTTCAGTTTTAAAGAGTAACACTGCAGCCTGTCATTTAAAAATCGAAAAGTGGAAAGAAGCGGCAAAATTAGCGACGGACTCCCTCGAGCGGTTAGAAAAGCTTTTAAAAATATCTGGAGGTAGAGAGGAATCTGCAAGCGAACCTTGTAGTGCTACTAGAGATGCAGAGCTCACAACTCTAACCCATGAACCTAATGTATTCAGTATTGAACGGATGAAAACAAAGACTATGATGCGACGAGCGCGCGCAAATAGCGAAGTCGGTGGCTGGGCAGCATTACAAAGTGCTCATGATGGTGTGTATTTATAGTTACGGCTATCTAATCCACGTGCGTGGAAAGAGAAGCCAAAGAACACAACTGACGAAACTAATAGATTACCAAAATCTTTCAAAAATGGCAAATCTCTCGTCGGCAGACCGTTCCGTGGTCCAGCGGCAATTAGTGCTACTTCCTCCCCGAATAAAGGCAGCGCAGACCAAGGAGATGGGTGATTTAATGGGTCAATTAAAGCAGGTTAGAATAAGATCTCTGCATGTTCTTGGTCTATGACTATGTGGCTAATAAATATCACAGCTCGGAAACGGTATTCTCAAACCATTTGGCCTCTCGACTGACAACTTTAATGTGAAAAAAGATGAAAAAACTGGTAGCTACAGCATGGATTTCAAACCAGGCTCATAAAGAGTTTTAGACGTTCAAAGAAAAGAGTACTAAGACAATGCGGCAAGAATTGGGGTAAATTGTTTGGAGCTTCCTCGCGTAAAGTGATCATTATGCTCATCAGCTTCTCATAAGACTAGAGTTTAAGAAAATATCTCAGTGAACATTGAAATATTAGCCACTAGTAAGATTTTAGGATTATCAAATTCCCAACCTAGGATAGTTTCGAATCCACTTAAATAAGAAAATCGAGAGGTCAATTCCTATCTTTAGGAGACGTGCTTCTTTAACAAGAACTTTAGCGATGAATAGAGGTGACTTTGTGAAATATCTGAAAGGCTAGCCGTTTAGTTACGGAGTTCTTTTCAAGTATGACTTAAATATAGGGCGCTTATGTTATTTCCTATAGACGAACCTCATTACATTGCGAAATGAAGAATGCGGGCTTCATTCATGCAAGCTGTTTACCTTACAACCTTGAGCTCCCACTTTAAGATCTACAGAGCCAAGGTTGAGTTGCAAATTTACTAGAAGTGCTTCTTTTGTCATTGAGTTCATAGCATTCCTTAATACCTTAGACAACAGAAAGATGGGTGGCTTACTCAACACTATTCTCTCTATTAAGACCCCTCTGAAACCTAATTATTCTTGCCTATAATTCCTGACGCGCGAAGGAGTGAAAAATTATAAAAGTAAATGATTCCTATCGGGACAGTTATAATTTTTTATTTTAAACATGTCATGTTTATTTTTATAGCTATCATATCATTTCTAGTGTATCATACTCTGATTTTTTTTAGAATTTCATGCATGGAGCCTGAATGTGTACCTCAAAAGATGAAATAACAAGGTAATAACTGAAGCAGAATTCAAATGTGCAAATAAGAGCTGGAATCTCTATACACAGGGATCTCTACGGTTACGATTTCGTCACAACACAAACCTTGGATCAACTCTGGTCCAAGCCGGCAATGACGGATTCTTCACCTTCAAGTGGTGCCGACGTAAACGCTCAGTATGCTCTGCATATGTGGGATAGCCAAGAAGAATCGCATCCGAATTGAAGTCGAAAGCAACCTCAAGCACATCTCCATCTGACGACTTCTCGACAATGCCACTCTTAGCATACTCATCTGAGTCCTCAACATCTCTCTAACCACACATCATCTCGCCTCGACAACCAATAAAGAAGTTGCTCCAATTGCATACAGGAGCTTGCTCCATTAATTTCCAGCAATCTCTCACTACATATTTAAGACGATATTTATACCTGCAAGGAGGAAATTAAATCATAATATACAAAGCCTGGGTCTTGGCTTACGGGGGACTGTTGCTCTAATGGGGTTATACATCTTGAGGAAGGACAGGCGGCTGAGATGTGGAGCGAGAGGGGGAACAGATCTCTGAAGACCATGCTGGAACTGATATTTTCGAGGGGCTTTCAACTTTGTATTTTTTTGGGCGCCAAGACCAAGATTTCGGCTAATTAGCTAGGAGGACTTCAATTGTCGATGAGTCAACGGCACTCCCCAGCGCCCTGGGCGGCACAAAAGAAGTTGGGCTAAGCTACCATTCAGCAATCACGCTCTGTCAAGACTTTTCTGACATTTCAGCACGACCTTCGGGAAGGTGTTGGAAGGAGACTAGAAAGGCAGAGGGTGAATTTCCCAATGTACACACAAGTCTGCAGCGTCCAGCTGGCTGGCTTCTTCGAACGCTTCAGAAGAGTCACTATGTCCTCGGATCTAGTCCTAATGTCGGTACTAGGAGAGCTCCGCACGCAGTGATATTTGCGATTTTTCTCGGCTGCCATACACCCAAAAATGGCCATCGATTCGCTGGCTGAAGATGGGATATAATGAATGGCAACGGGCTCCTCTTAGTGTATGATCGAATGAGGACTTGTGAGGGCTGGTACTGTTTGAGGGGAGCTGTATAGGAGGCATAGGAGGGGATATACTACTGGTATAGGTATCCTTGGCCTGTAGGCAGAGAGGACCTGCACGACCTGCATAGTCATAGATTCATGAGGACAATAAAATGAATTGAAAAAAAAGTATAGTCGCTTATCACAACATTGTATAAAAAACTCTTCCTACTTCACCACAAGCACTGCTTAGAATTCCATCCAAGCAAAACTACAGTCAAACTTGAATACAAGAAGTGACTTGGATAAAATTTATCGTCGATATTATTACACCAACCAGCTTTCTAATGATGCGGGGCTAGACTGAATCAAACATTTCGCTTACAATGTGAGAACTCATTTCATTACAATGCTACCCCCATCTTACCCACCTTTAGCCCAACATCTTTCGCAGCTTTCATTAAAGTCGCATCCGCCTACTTACCATCGATACAAAATATCGTCTTAATCTACCATTTTCGACTTACAAATGTGATTCCCACTATTCTCACCCATGTCACCCCAGTTCTCTGCAGAGGATGCCTATTGGCCCCACTCCCCCAACAGCAAATTCGACGCCTGAAGTCAAAATGGTTTTCACAGGGCCTCCGAACTACCTAGGCAATACACATCAAACCGCAGAGCCGATCTGCGAGGCGAACTGGCAAGGCTCAGTCCCAAACCCCAGATTCACTGGGGTTTGAATGACTACTTTCCTCGAAGATGAAGCGAGGGCTTTTAACCTACGCTTCGGAGAGGCAGAGCACGTCGTTAAAGGATACCTCAAACTCTTGGTCGACAAAACCGACCAATACCTCCGACGAGCTGAAGACAATGCAGCGGCTTTACAGGCTATGATGGCAGAAATTCTGAGGGGAAAACCCAGCCAACCCAGCCAACCCCAATACAGTGGGCCATCAGAGGCTGCCAGTGGCTGCAAAACTACGCCCATCTCTGCGCTAGCTCCAAAATCTGGAATAAAGACTAACGCGAGCACTCCACGACCAGTGCAAATTCTCGCGGGAAAAAGCAAGAACCTCGTAAAAGACAAAGATGTTGTGATTAAGGTATGAGTGGGTATGAGATGTTGAATATTCTAGGGATAGTACAGAGGGTGGATAACAATTATCAGAGCTTGACTATATGACAAATAGCTTAGTCATGTTCATCTAAATATCACAGTAGTAGATAAGACTTATATCCACATATTTGGTACCCGCTATACAGCACATCACTGTCTCTGTAGGAAGTACTACAATCTTAATTCCATGCCATACTATCCCACATTACTCTATGCCATTGTATAGAGCTACGCCTCAATAGTCGATCGTAATGATGGCCATGTAGGGCTGTGCAGTACTTGCATAGATGTGTTGTATCCCTGGCACTTTTTTGTGATGGGCATGTTATACAGCTAGGGTACTTGCATGTACATAACGTGATTAGATGTTTACGCTGTTTGTATAGTTCCTGTATTGTTTGGGATATCTGCAGGAGGAAGCTCATGTGCTCAGGAGCCGACTAGCGGCCGCTTATGAGTATAAGTAGCAAGTGCTCGGCACAAGATTAGTATAGAAAAATCAAGCAGAGTGAACCTCAGATACACCTTCAATCACAACCTTAAACTCATCAATCTACATACTCGTACAAGGTCAGCATGCATAGTGATACTAACCTATGCTCATAACCACAATAGGTTATCAGCCCGGGCGATTCCGCTGTGCCAAAATTACGCCAACATGTTGGAATTTGCCACATTTCTTACAATAATTGGCATTCCTTGCAAACATGAACAACTTTCCTGCATGCTGCATAATACATCCTGTATTCTACATTTTAGTTTCTTTTTGCTGTTGAGATATTTTCTCATACATTTGCATATGCGGGGTAATATGATACTATATGCAAATGCAGTGAGAGATATGGTCACGTTTACTTTGCGACAAATAGTATGGCGTTAATGGTGCGGGGTCAGTGTCACAGACTGACTGATGTTGAGATGGTATCCTGCCAACCTCTGGCTCTAAGACTATGTTGCTACTGCTATGTCATGGATAGATTCATGGTGTTGAGGTAGAGTCTGATCCTAGCTTCAGCTGGTATCCCTCTAGACAAGTTCTAGTTACTTCGATGGCTTTCTAAGCTATTCTAGCAATTAGTTTCTAGATATTTCGGGATGGTATTTTGTACTCTTACCAGTTCACTGAGCTTCGATCAGATTCTAGGTCACGCTCAGGAGTTTGACAGGAATCGGGCTGGAACTAGATTACTGTAGTCTGTAGCAGATAGTATCGAAGTATAAGTAGCTGAGGTATCTTAATGTAGAAAGCTCTCCAGCTTTCAGTCTTGTATTATTCCTTAGATATTCAAGAATCAAGAACCTAGACTTTCGTTAATATATCATCTTCTCCATCAAGAATCCAAGATCTCAAGCCAACTTTCCTCAAGTTAAGTGACCAAGTCCCAGAGAACCTGACATCAGTACTGTTTTATTCCCCGCACAATGGTTTCGTGGTCAGCTGTGCTGAAGACTTTTCACTGTAGTAATTGTTGTTTGCATACCCACTTTAACTCTAGGATATGCACACATAAATTCGCGTTTTACATGTAACTTAGAACTGCAATGGAAACAATATTTTTTGAGCTATACTTTCTGCTCCTCTTACTATGAAATCGCAACACGACACGTACAAGTATTGAACAACTATGGCAAAAGACGACAACAAGATTATTCTCCAGCTGGGATTTTCATTTGAAAAGTGGAGGATAAGTCTTCAATCAAAGCTCGCGCAACGCAATGTTTTGGGACACGTATTCCACAACATGCCTCGACTACAACCAGTGCACGCCCCCTGTCGATGCTAGCTCTAGTAATACAAGCCCCGAAGATATCCCTAACCTGTCTACCAAGCATGAAATTAAACTCGAGCAATGGGTACTGGGGGAGAATGAGGCCAAGAACGTCATTACTAGTAGGCTTTCATCATCATCGTGCCCTCAGAACTATGATCATACAACAGCAAAAGAGCTGTTTGATGCGGTAGCTTGCACCCGACAGGAAACTGCTACAGCACTGTATGCAACAGCTCTCGAAACTTTTTTAATGATCAGATTC